TGTGTGTGTGTGTGTGTGTGTGTGTGTGTGTGTGTGTGTGTGTGTTAGTGCGTGCGTGCGTGCGTGCGCACGTGCGTGTGTGCATGCGTGTGTGTGCGCGTGCGCTGCTGAATGAGGCAGTGAGTCGGGCTGCTTTAAGAAAGAAGAGGGAGGGGTGCACTGCACCGCTCGCGGAGGGGAGGAGGAGAAAAGTTCTCTCATCACTGCTTCTAAAAGTCTCCAAAAACACCGGGAAAAGTCGCCAGATTTGTTGCTAGTTGTTTTTGGAAAGGAAAAAGCTGCTAGACCTAGCGGCAGTGTAGCTAAGCTGGCAACACTGCTCCGCTCGGCTCACTCCTAAGTCACTTGACCAGTCAAATCGCAGCCTGTGTGGTTAGAAAATCTCGTTTTAACATATCGCGAGATTATCGCAAATGCAATTAATCGTTCAACCCTATTTCTGGGCATTCTGGGCATTTATGGGCAGCCGGTTCCAGAGGCGGCTGCATGGTGATGTCAGGTTGTCCCACATAGTTACAAAATGGAGGCTGACAGCCCTTGGATTCGCTTTATTTATTTATTTTTTAATTGATTTTGGGACATTTTAAATCATTTCTGAATCTTTGTAATTGAGGATCACGATTCTGATGCAAATCTTTTTTTAATACACCCCTAATTTAAAAACGCATTCTAACCTAACGTGATATTGCATTAGAACGTAACACTTTTTAAAAAAACAGTTTTCATCTAAATGACTGTAGTTCTGTTGTTTTTCAACATAAGAGAAACTTAGTCTAAAATTCTTGAATCACTGTATCATGTTTGAAATGTAAAATACATTTAAAAAGAATGATTACAGTGAAACTTTATTTTGAGCTATTAACACTGACATTTTAGACTACTTTTACTGCATGTTTCTACAACTACTGTCACTTTCTGTGTGTTTATTCTCCAGCAAGACTCTGCTCCAGAACCTGCTTCATGTTTGTGGAACTCAACGCGCCACTCATCCAGCCCTTGGAAGGAGGGTCTTTGTAGAGGGTTATACATTGGGTGTCAGTTGGAAACGAGGTAATATTTCAACGTGCACAGTCCCACAACTCACTTAACTGGCCATTAGTAGTAGAGCTACAATATAGTAGAAAATTTTGTTGTTTAATATTGCAATGGCAATATCAGATGCCAATAGCAAAAATAATTCACACCTCACATTTTCCTGTTGTTATTGGTGCCATATAAAATAGTTGTGGGAATCAAGGTCATTAAGAGCCTTTTAGACTGAACAATTTTATTTATCTTTATTTAACCAGCTAAATCCCATTGAGATAAGAGATCATCAACAATTAGGGTTGTGTACCTAAACTCGGTTCCAGTATGGCACCGGGGCGAACATCAATGGCAGTACACAGACCTAAACACAACTCTAATTTTGGTGCTTTATTTCAGTCCCTCAAAGAAAGCTGTTAATTTGCGCCCTCTGGTGTTCACTGTTAATAGTGACAGCCTCGGCACACAATCTCCACAGACGCGGATCCACTCGGCTCGGTCTCGGCCCAATGCGTCTCCAAGCGCGCTCCACAGCCTGTTTCAGAACCTCCTCTCCGGTGGTTCGGATAGAAGCGAGTACAGCACGCTTACGATTTTAACGTCAGCAGAATTCTGCCTGTGGATTAACTCTGGATTGACTGACAGCGAATTTGCTCCTGGAGAGAGCTGCTTTTGTTTAGGAATACGAGCGCGCAGCGTGATACGACTACATGGTGAAATAAAACTGCCCTTTTGGGAAAGACAGAATTTGTAAACACTTCCTGGAGAAAGGTGAAGGAGACGAAGCTGAGCAGACAACTGGGAGGTTTCCAACAAACTGACTGCCCACGGTTACACAAGCACTTAGCTAATCAGCACCGTGATAATAAATAAATAAATAAATAAATATTAAAAAAGTGAAGTCTGAACGGTAAGATCACGGCTTATTTATTTAATTTTATTATTATCATTTAACACAACAGTTGCTGCGGACGGTCCGCACATTATTACACCCACAGAGTGAGGGACACACTGCGTGGAGACACACGGACACTGAGTAGAACCGACCCGACCCGAAGTGAATCGAGTAGAACAGAGTTCATGGAGAGGGGCTGAACAGGTGCCGCTGCAGTGAATTGTTATATATTTTATATTAAAGTCGAGATGACGAAAGCAAAATGGTCCAAAGTGTGGCGTCACTTTACAAAACTAGATACCACATAGTGGTAACATAATGACCCCCACACGCACAAATTCACCAGAACTCAGAAGTCTTTATTCCTAATAGATGTCATGCTACTAGGTGCATCCCAAATTTGTAGTGGTGTGGGTGGGTGGTGGGCGGGGCGGTGTAGGACCTGATGGATAGCCCCTCATCAGAGCTAAACAACCAAAGAAATCTGAAGCTCCTATGTTTAATAGTTTTTGAGCAATAACCTTTTTTGTATGTTCAGATGCCACTTTTTCAGATACATTGGGGGTCTGGGGGTAGGGGGGTGTCACTGTTTGGTGGGCCTGATGGATAGAGCTTCATCAGAGCTAAACAACAAAAGAAATCTGAAGCTTCTACAGTATGTTAAATAGTTTCTGAGTTATAAGCATTTTTGCATGTCCTGACACCCCCATTTTGAAAGGAGCCCCCTCCTCAAATCTGGGGTATATAGTAAAACCGTTGGCTGGCGCAGTGTAGGTCAGACTCATRTACAGTCCTGCCAAATTTCATGTTGATTGGTGCAGCTGTTTTTATGCTACGGTTGACCAAAAATCTCCGGAGAAAAAAACAAAATACACAGTACAAGAAAAATATGACTCCCGCTTGTGCTTCACGTGCGGGGGTCATAATAAGATGCAGAAACTTCCACCTACAACAAATGCTTTAAGAATATTTGGTGCAAAGACAAATTATTAATGGTTTTAAGTTAATATGTTGATCAATTTCAAGTTTGACTTTGCCTCAGAAATAGTCATTGCTTCATAAAACTTTGTGTGAGTGTGTGTGTGTTTTATTTATTTATTTTTAAGGTACCAATTTAAATACCGTTTAGGAACCAGTACCATTTTGAAAGTACCTATTTAGCACCGGTATCGAAATAAACCCTTTCAATACCCAACCGTGTCAACAATATGGTGCAGCAAATGACTGCCTCTATGTTTTGGTGCTCATATGTAGAAATAATTTTACACTAGGATTTCTTGAAGCCATTTTACTCTTCACTCTGTAATATTGCACATAAGGAAAAGCATTAAATTTGATATATTGTTTTCTGCAGAAACCTTGAGATAGACACAAGTATCACACAAACAGTTGTCCTGATGCATCTCAGTAATCCAGGTAAAAAAATCAAAAAGAAAAAACGTGTAGGTCTTCTGGACGGGTTCTTCTCTAATGAAACGTTTCGTCTCTCCTCCAAGAGACTTCTTCAGTCTGAGAGTTTCAGGCAAAATTCAGGCTTTTAAGCCCTGCCTCCATGTGACTGATACTCACATCACATGGCTATCGTTGACACCTAATTATTTTCGTTGACACCAATTTTTTTCTTTTTTCACACAAACAGATGTACAGACAGTCAAATTCTAAATTAAATAAACCAATTAAAAAATGCAGACATTTATTTATTTAATGTATTTTAAATACTGTTTTATCAGGTGATGACTTGTTCCAGATTAGGGGTCGGAATGGTTTACTGCATTGCAGCATGGATCCTCTCCCACCGGTCTGTGGGGAACAGGAAGTGGCAGACACATCAGATCACGTCTTGGAAACCTTCTACCCCATCTCACCCTCCATCGACTTGCTGCAAGTGAATGTATACAAAGAGATGAACTGCACAGGTAATCTCCAGCCTCAGTCCTATTTAAAAGATATGGATCTCAGTAAAAACTGTGGTTTTCTGAAGTCCTCAGACTTAGTGACTGATGTCTCATCTGTATTCAGGTTTCATAGGTGACGCTCCTTACCCTCATGCCCACACGCTTTACTTTCTGGAAACAGCTCCTAAGCAGACTAGGCTCCACCCTGAGCAGTTCAGAGCTAAGATGTTCATGTTCACCTTTGGGAATGCTTTGGCCCGTGCTTACAAACTTTATGGGGTAAGAACCTACAGAGAAACACACTTTAATTTGATGAAAACACCTGTGTTTAACCGTTTTGCTTGAATTCTAATCGTTCTTCTGTTTTACACTTTGTGTCTGTGTCAGACTTCACCTCAGAAAGTATTAGACCGTCCTATAACTGTACAGTCTGTGGGGACAAATGGCAGAATTTTCCAGTTTCTTGTATTTCAACTAAACACCACAGATCTTTCTGGAGATGACGGCATCAAGAACCAGGTAGGCATCATGTGCTACCAAGGCAGAGCAGTAGTGTTTTTTTTTGCTTATGTCTTGTGTGAGTTTGTGTGGATCATTAGCAAAATATTGCATAAATCACTAAATTGACTTTTTAAATCGTCACTGTTTAAGTTTTTTCCATTACGGTACAAAAATGTGTTCACAAAAACAAAAGAGCAAACGGAGAACATCATATACATCACTGTACCAAACTAATCAATCATATATTTGTGTTGAAATAATTTATAAAGGACAAAAAAATATGAGCTTCCCCTTTCCATGAATATTTAATTTTCTCCAATTTTAAATGTCATAAAATATCTTTCATTGTTGCAGGATTATGTGTATATGCCCTTAGTCAAATTACACAGGTTAGTGTTAGTACACCGTACTGTATGTCTGTGTGTGTGTGTGTGTGTGTGTGTGTGTGTGTGTGTGTGTGTGTGTGGGATAGGGATGTCTTCAAACAAGCAAAGGGATTAATCATCCCTTTCAATTATGTGCATGTG